TTATAGTAGTACAGTAGCAGAGTCTCAGTTGGTATAATCCAGAGTGTCCAGCAAGAACACATCTCCCTACCATTAGAGGAGAACAGTCTTTGTATTTTGCTTAAAAACATGGGGTCATAAATGCCAGACTTTTAAAAAATTTTTCCTTGTTAAAATATGAAATATGTTATAAAACTGAACAAGAAAATTTTAAAATCTAACCAAATGCAAAAACACCTAGATTTTTAAAGCCTGAATATTTTTCTATCTTTTTAAAGTCAATAGGCAATTACCAGAAATATCAAAGTGGACATGGTTGTATATGCCTGTAACTCCAGCACTCTGGGAAGCTGAGTCAGGAGGAGCATGAGTTTGAGTCCTGCCTGGACAAGTTAGCCAGACCCTGTCTCAAAATTTAAAAAGAATAAAAAATAGAAAGGGCTGGGGATGTAGGTCAATGGTAGAGCACCCCTGGATGTGATCCTTAGCACCACAGAGAGCTGGATATAGACTTGTAGTGCATGCTGGGGCACACTGGGAGGCTGAGACAGCAGGATCACAAGTTCATCCAGCTTGGGCAATTTACTGACTTACCAAGACCTTGTCTCAAAATAAAGAATTTTTAAAACTTTTTTGTTTCATTTTTTGAGATAGGGTCTCACTAGGGTAGTCCAGGCTAGTCTTGAACTTATTATGTAGTCCAGGCTGGCCTCAAACTCACAGCAATCCTCCTTCCTCAGCCACCCAAATGTTGGGATTACAGATGCATGCCGCCACACCCAGCTCAAGAATTTTTTTAAAAGGGCTTGATATGTAGTTTAGTGTGAAGACTCTGAGTTCAATCCCCAATACCACCAATACCAAAAGAGAAAAAAAAAAAGATGCCACACTAGAAGTCTTTTCTTTGGTTTTTTATTGAAGATGAAGCTCATAGATTATTAACATATCTGCTGACATAATTTTTTAATTAATGGCATAAGTGGAAAATTAAAAGATAAAAATAAAGTTTTTAAAATTACTAATCTGATAAATTATGATAACTAAAAACCTATTCACTGTTGATGGTGTTGATTGGACACATTTCACATTATATATTGATAAGTCTCTGGCCAGCAGTGCTCTATCAAATAGCGCTGTCTTTTTATCAGTGTTGGCGAACCTGGGCACGCGTGCCACCGTGAGCACACAGAACCCTCTCTGCCGGGGCGCAGTGGTGACGTCAGGCGATGATGTCACCAGCCGGGAATCATTAGCCGCAACTCCTCTGAGCTTTCGCGCGACTGGTCAGTTGCTATGTATATCTACTTGCACTGTCTGTGAGTTTTAATATAGTCATTTTTATTAACACAACATTTTAGCTTTGAGTTTTCCTATGAAAATAGAAATTTAATATCTAAGATTTAGCAGAGATGTTCTAATTAAGAGACTGAGATTCTTTTAATGTGCTGTCCCCCTGGCATATTTGAATCTGCAGCTACATATGTAGTTGTTTGTGAAGAATTCATGAAAACAGAGCAAGGATATACGTATTTGCTTGAACTGACTGTGGTTTTAGCAGAAGCCGCACCAGGGAGGAAATGCACTCAGATGCGTTTTTCAGAGCGAGTCAAATCCAGCGGTCAGTGGAACATTTCCCGCTTGCACCAGGAGTCAGTAAAGAGGAAGCCAGCAGAGAACCTCCGCGACAGATTGTGGATGCGGGGACTATCCAGCCCTTTAGTGTTAACTAATAGTGTTAGCTATTTTGGTGCAGGGTTAGATTTGTATAAGGTGCTTCATTTTTTAAAAAATTTATGTTTTTGTAGCCTCCAAGTCCTTTTTTAAATTAACTAAGTTTAGTGGCACATTTTAGGTATCTATAATGATCACATTCATCATAGGGAATTTTACCTGTACATGCTATATCTTTTTTTTCTTCAATCAGATTATACTGGGACATTTTAGATATACATGATAATCACATTCATCATACATAATTTCTACCTGTAGATGATATAACTTGATTCTTTTTTTCCCATTCTCCTGCCCTCCCTTCAACCCTTCCTCCCCGCTCCATTTACAAAAGCTTCGTTTCTATGTTTTCCTTGTTTCTCTTTTCTTTTTTACTTTTCCCTTCTTTCCTTTTCCTTCCCCTGAACTTGCTCCCCTTCCCATTTGAACAATTTCTTCCTATTTCACAATATCTATTATACATTTTGGTCCTTATCTACATGTTCAGTTTCTCACACCACAGGGAGAAAAGGAGGTATTTACATGTGTGTGTCTGATTCAGTTCATTTAAGAGTATGGTCTCAAGGTGCATACATTTACCTAGAACTGTCTCAAGTTTATCCTTTTTATGGCTGAGTAGTACTCCATTGCATTAAAAAAAAAAAAACCACATCTTCTTTACCCATTCATTAGCTGATGGGCATTTGGGCTGCTTCCAAGATTTAGCTATTACAAACTGTGCCACTGTAAACATTGGTGTGCATATATTACTGTGGTATGATGCTTTAAATTCTTTCAAGAAGATACCAAGAAGGGGAAGAGCTGAGTCAAATGGAACCTCCCATCTTCGTTTTTTGAGGAATCTCCACA